TGGGCCCAAATAACTTTTATCAAAAATTAGCTCGTCAAGGTGAGCGTGGCTCATCCTAATTCTGCCATAAGCTGAGCAGGGTGGAATCAAACCATGAAGGCAGCTGGCAACAGATGCACACCCCCATTTGTACGAATTGTCCGTTTCTAGATGCACGTTATTGAGCTTGAGTATTGTTTCATATCATAACGGGAAAACATTTATTTCAATAATTCACTCGACAGACTGCGCTTAGCGCTATAAAAATCTACATGAACGATGAATGAAACACAGAGTGGAAATAAAGGGAAAAAGAGGAATATGAAACCATATTATCATCAGGAAGTGATTTTACTAGCCATAAAGTGGCCTTATGCGCTATAAAAATCTACATGAACGATGAATGAAACACAGAGTGGAAATAAAGGAAAAAAGAGGAATATGAAACTGTATAATCATCAGGAAGTGATTTTACTAGCCATAAAGTGGCCTTATAAAGGGAAAAAGAGGAATATGAAACCATATTATCATCAGGAAGTGATTTTACTAGCCATAAAGTGGCCTTATTGTGCGTAACTCCATTTTCTCATCGACATCAACCCCATCAAAAGGAGTATCATCAAAGAAGGGAGCTTTCTTATGCTTGTTTATTTCTACTGTTGCTTTGCTTTTATCGCCCAAGAGTTCTGCAATGCTGTGGAGTAGGTTCCCTATGTTCCCTGAAATGATACGATTTATTTTCGACAGTTTAGCGAAAAACAGGGCTTTAAATTGGACGTGAACATGAATTTTAAAGGCGAAAAAGAAAAAACAAATGGAAATAGCTAGTTTCTGGGAGAGTGGAATCTCACAAATCAGTCCTTCCTTCCAATCACCTCCATCTCCCGAGAATCGTTTACCTCGATTGCTGTCACCTGCAATGTGGGCTGTTCAGACATCGCCGAGGCCAGTCTGATAGTGTCGTGCGTACCGAACTCTCGAACTTCGAGCCAAATATGAAACTTCACCATAATAGGTTGAAATGAGTAACTAATGGCTCATGTTTTTTCAAGCTTCACTCAATCCCCTTGAGAACATACACCATCGTGGTCGGCTTGTATTGGGAATCGTTGTGACCCATTGAATGCGCGTGTGGCCTTTACAATGACTTGCGGTGGTCAGCCGATGTACAAGTAGTGGTTTTATCCTCCCAGACGAGTCTGGGAGCAATTAACTAATCCCCCAAAGGATGGAATTCCTGGTCGACGTGAGAGGATAGGGATCCGGGATTCGAACCCGGACCATGCGTCTGTGGTAGTGCCTCCATTGTTACCTATTTTAGACCATCTTCCTTGTTCGACAGGCTTTTTCAGTTGCTTATGAAGTTGTTTAGTCATCAAGAAGTCGCATTTCGAGGGAAATCCAGAAGTTGTAGTGTGGGCACTGCCATTTCTCGCGGCATTGTGACTTACACTCGCTGCTGATGGTAGCGGGATAGCTACGTGGCCAAAGAACCCGGACTTAGATCCCTTGAAGAAACAGACGGGGAGACCGGATGAAAGGTCAGATACTGGAAAGTTAAATGGAGGTATGATCGAAGCTGTGAAGTTGAAGTCTTTGGATAGTAAGTGCGAAAATTGCAAACTTGAAGAAAGCAGTAGGGACAGGCTGTGACATGACGCTGTGTTGTGTGACGGAATTGTTAGCTCACCTAGTTTACACGGGTCTCTCATTTCGGCTGGTCCATTATCGAGCATTGAGTCCATGTGAGCTCTTCGAATTTCTCGCACATAACGATCGATTTGATTGGTATCCGGTGCAGAATGATTTTTTGTTGCCACTGCAACCGTTTATGAAATGAATCGCGCATGAGAATGTTTGAGGAGAGGCTACGTATTGTGCGGAGAGTATCCTGCATGTCGGTGTAGCCAAAAGCTTGCGTTTGAGTGACTAAGACGTACTCGAAAGACAGTGCAGGATGGATGCTCAATAATCAAGGTTCTTTATTACCTGTAATATAACCGGACCCCAGGTAAGAGCCTGGCGGCTCTTGTGTGCACC